ATCCTTCCTTGCAGGCTTCCAAAATCATGATTCCTTGCTTTGATATATCTGCAATCCATATATTCTAAAGCCTAGGGACACAAAAGTAATTATTCTATCTTTCTCCAAGCACCTTTGGATGTAATCATCGGATGCTTCGGGGTACCATGTTCTTGAATCCATTTTAACATCCGAGATAGATGGATTAAGGTGATTCGAAGCTAAATCTTGCAAGACTATGTAGGAGCGTAAACCAGACCCGTCGGAGGCCACCAAGAGTTAGCTGCCATAAAAAATGGGAAAGAATATGCAGATGTGGTCCGGAACCAGTGTATCGAAAAATAATGACTGATAGAAGGCCAGTTCCTTGGTGCCGTCATTGGCCTGGAGAGGTTTGTAAAAGCATCCTGAATCATCTACGAGGGGGCCAAGATTTCCATCAATGGCTTGATGACCAGCAACCTGATGCTCTGGAACCTTAAGCATGATGCACAAACTCGAAATTGCGGTTGACCTGCATAACAAAAACTTGAACTTTTTGCACTCAATATTTCCCCCTTTTTTAGAAATCAATCAAACAAAATAGTCATAATATGAAGTCTTTTAATTCTTAAGCAATTATGGGTTAAAGACATTTTGTAACATTTTACACTGTAGATCAGGCAACTCAAACCCATAGTCACATGGATCGCGGTACGCTCCGGTACAGGAACGTGGAACGGGATCACAATTCGCTAGATCCCCTAAAATTTGGTACGAGGGGGTAGACTCATTTCGGATCGCTCCGGTACAATCTACCATATAAATTGGTACGATGTACCAGTTTCTTAGGTTGCTATTTTTCTACATCAAATTTTATAAGTAACTTCAAGACTTCAAATATCTTAGAATAACTTCAATACTATATATTTCATTCAGTAACTTCAATACTTCAAAGTTGAAGGACTAAATTTATAAAGTTGAATGACTAAATTTATAATTAAACCAATATCTTAAACAATAAAAATACAACAGTAAAAAGAGTTGGTCTTTACTTGGGTTTCTGAAATATTAACTTTACTTTTTTTTCTTCTCACACTTTAACGTTTCCTCATCTTCATTTATTTTCTTCTCTAAAATGCCAGTCCATCTTCCTTTCTTTTCCTTTACCAAATTACCTATCAAAAACATCTGTCGACTCTACCGCCGACTGGCAAGATCGGCCCTTCCACCGTCTTCGTTACCGCCCCTTCTCCTACTGAATCCTTACCCCTATATTTGTTTCTTGGTTTTTGTTGTGATGGGATTTTGTTTCCTTTGCTTCTACTATGAGGGTTTTTGTTTTCTTTGGTTTGTTGTGGTGAGTTTCTTCTTTCTTTGGTTTGCTTTCATGGGGTTTATGCTTCTATTATTTTTGCTATGGGTTTTTGGTACACTAATTTCACCGTTCCGGTACGCGAACGAACCGTGAATTGGAACGGACGAACTGAAACAAGATTCGTGGGGTGGAACGCGTTCGTACCGCGTTTTGGATCGCAACATACAGTAAGTAGATCGTGGGCTATTGAGCGATTTATGTAACTATGCTCAAACCACTAAAAGACAGCAACCAACCTAATTCCATTAGAAAACATGTCTCCTTGGTGTTTACAAAACATGGTAAAATCAATTAAGTAAAGAATCCACACAGAATTATGATCGATAACATCACCAAATTCTTTAAAGAAAACAAACAAAAGGGTCAAGGAAAACAAATAGTTTGAATCAGATTGAAAACAAATAGTTTGAATCAGATCAATTCCTTTGTTTTCCCTTGAAATAGATGGATTTACACTCTACATTTTCAACTTAGTTTTCATGCTAAACAAACACCCTTCGGCTAAGAACCAGTATAATGTTTTATGTTCAGAGAGACTTCAGTGTGAATATGTGGGTATTCTTCCTTTATTAGCCTCTAACTTGGACAATGTTACATATTAGTTGTTATGGAAATTATTCTTTTACTAGTATCTAACTTATACAATATTTTTATCTTCTCCTCTTCGAACATATCCAAGTTATCACGCTTTATAGTCTTGCAATAAGTCATTTCAAACATAGATTGCATATTAGAATAATATTTTTTTGAATTGTTCATGATTCACCATCAATAAAAGATATTCATGATTATCATATTCGAAAGTTATTTCCTTGCAACAACTTGATTAAATGAGAAAGTCTTTAATGTCACTTTTCCTCTTTTGATTAGCTTCTAGGATTTGTTATCGAATGTCATCTTAAGCTCGCTTGTTGCACTTTTTTCAAATGATCACTCAAGTGATTTATCCTATTCTTAAATTTACTTGTTGAGTTTCTTTTTGCAATTATTAAATACGATCTTCTACTCATTTTTGGTCTTTTCTTTTTTAATGATCTCACACCACATATTTTAACTTTGATCAGGTGCTTTCACTTGGCTTATTATTTTCAACAACATTAGGTTAACTTAAGGTAGGAATTATATTTCCTTCAGAACTTGGTGATGGACTTTCTTCGGTTAGTAATTGAGGAGAGACAAATGTAAAAGATGTTAATGAAATAGAATTCTCTCTAAATTGGACATTTTTCTGTATAAATAAGATTAAAACCATCAAAAAAGATAATATTCACTAGTCACAATAGTTTCTGTGATGCTAAATGCCCAAATATAAATTCATATAGTAATAAACAAATGAAAACTATGCTAAACAATCATGCTGAAATTAATAAGTTAAGAATTAATTACTCAAAAAAAATGTTATCACTCATCACCATATCTTAATATATATATATCAATTCTAAATTGTGATTACAAGCCTTAAAAAGATAACTTATTCACATGGAATGAATACACATTTAATGAATCATGTACTTAACTTGCAGTTCCAACAAACAAAACATCAATGGTGGTATTGAATCTTACAAAATAAATTTTATGGTTATAGTTGTTACTTCGTTTCTTCTGTTTAGTGTATGTATCATATATGGATGTTGTTTCATCTTTTGCTGATGAATTATTTAAATAAGCTTGTGCTTGTGTCACTTATACTATAACGATGGTTCTCTTTAGTTTACCACCTTTGCTACTTCTATTTACTTCTAAAAAGCGAGAACTAATGTTTGAATAAATTAATAAGAGAAAATGTACGAATATGGTTTTACTTAAAACCATAGGCACAACAATTGTGTTTAAAATAAAAAATGGATATGTATTAATGGAATTATTATAAATCCACCAACTGACTTATTTCTTTCACTATTAATGGAGTCATTTCGTAGTTTATTGAATCTGATTATATATTAGGTTTTTACTAGTTGCAAATTTTTCATCAATTTAATATTTTAAATTAATTTAGAGTATAAATTAAAATATACTAATTTCAATAAACAATAATTAAAGAACCTATTGGTTTGGAATGAAATTAGAATCTAATTAGGGGTTGGATAAATAACATAGTTTTCAATTTTCACACATGCAAAATTAACAGAAAGTAAAAGCAGGGAGAAGAAGTGTTTATCTTAAAGAAAGTTGAGGTTTTTCTACTGTTGAGTCTCGAGTGTTGCTGTTGTTCAGTGTTGATTACCTATTAATACCAATTGTAGAGAAACAAAAACTATAATATGATGAAGAAGGGTCAAGATTCAAGATTGTTGATGGCTGAGGATGAGTCCAAACATGAAATACTGAATCTTGAGCATGAAATTGTAGAGAATTTGTGATAAAATTAAATTTTAGTTAGGGCTTAATGTTCTAGGCTTCCAGCAACCTTCATTCATCTACCGAGTTGGGAAACTGGAAAACTAAGAAATAAAAGTAAAAATATTATTTTAAGTATTCGGGTCTAGTCGGAAAAAAATTATTCATATCAACTTTATTTTAAAAATTTATATAAATAATCCGATTTGACCTAACTAAAACTCAACTTTAAAAAAAACATATCCTATCATATCATATCAAATCAAAACTTATTGAATTTGAATTATACGCTCATCCTAATTATATAATAGATATTTTGTTTGAATTGGGTTATGGATACAAAGTAAATATTAAAGATAATCGGATTTTAATTAACCCAAAGTTTTCGTACCTTTTTTAACATTAGAACCACCTGTTTTATTGCTTCATAAAGACTAAAACATAATTAAAACAAATGCTAACCGGATGCAATATATTAAGGTGGTGTTTGGTTGGCATGAATCTCTTAGAATTAGGGGAATTGAAATCCAATTCCACTACTTTGCCATGATTGATTCAAGTTTTCAAGGAAATTGGAATCCCTCATGGCATCAACTTTCCATCAAATGAGGGAAAGTGAATTTCATCCATTCTATGATGGAATTCAATTCTCTTGGATGGAATTCAATTCTCTTGTTGGAGGGAATTGAAATTTGATCATACTACCCTCATCAATCTTTTGATAACTTATTAATATATTGAATAAAAATATTTTTTTATTATTTCGGGTCGAGTTTCTAATTCATATATTCGAGTCGGGTCGGGTGAAATTTTATTTTGGTCGGTCCGGGTCTCAGATGAAGGTTCCCTTGTTCTCGGGTCGGGTCGGATGAACAAAAAACCCGACCCAACCCGACTCATGACCATCCCTAATTTAGATGATTTTAACTTATAATATTTATTAGCATGCTTTTTATAATTTATTAAAATTAATAATCAATCAATAAAATTAAAATTTAATTTTTAAATTTTTTTATAATATATTGCTACATGTAATTTATAAAACAAACTAAAATTAAACAAAAAAAACAAGAAAGGTAATTCTGTCATTTTACATTACTGAAATCAAATTCATCTAACACCAAACAGAATATGAAATTAGATTCCAATTCAATTTCAGGCCAACAAAACATAATATGGAATTGAATTCTAATTCCTGACAAATTCTAATTACTTCACAGATTTCAATTCCCTTATAAACATTCCAACGAACCAAATGCCACCTAAACGTTTTTACAATATAAAAATAAGCTGCTTCACTAAAAAGATAAATCACTTGGCCCAAAAACTCTTGACCGGCCATTCCTATCCTCGTCTTCCAAATATCTCGATTAAAACCTGACTTGGAGATCAAATCTGAACATAATGGAGCCTTTCCGCAATCCTTTTCTCTCATTTCTGGTATAAGGGGGATCGATCCATCGTCTAACTTCGGTAGCTTGTCTCACTGCTTTTTTTTTTTCGGATGTTTTCTACCAAGTATTTTTCTTCTCCTTCCTCCGTTTGCTCCGTGGCTAAGAGGTGAGCCACTTTATTACCATCTCTCTGGCTGTACTTGTACTCGCAGACTTGAAATGTTTTTGCTAATTGTTGTGCGTCCCAAATTAGTGCACTTATTTCTGATTTGACTGGGCTTTGAGAAGCTAGCTTCGCCATTATTGATTTTGAATCTCCCTCCAATATGATTTTCCTAAATTCGAGATCAGCTGCTAGTTGAAGAGTAGGGCCTGCTGCGATGGTTTCTGCTGTGAATGTTGTTGGAACCCCCAAGGTTAGTCTTCTGCGTGCAACCATTTCATATCCTTCTGAATTTCTGATTATCACTCTTGACCATGTCTTTTGGGTTGCTTGTTTGAAGCTGGCGTCAAAGTTTAATTTGTCTATGTATGTTGCGGGTGGGTTCCATCTTGTGACGACTCTTTGTGTTGTTCTTTCGGTTCTGCATGTAGTCGTGTCGAACTGTTGATAATTGTTGCGGATAAAGGTAACGATTTAATCTCTTCTGGGTATCTTTCCTTCGTTGATTCGTTTGATCCGTCCGTACCAGAGTGCCCATATGGTAACTAATATCTCATTGTGTTTCCTTTTGAAGATATTATCAAGGATCCAGCTAAGCCATTCTTTGAATGACCATTTTGAGCTTTGAGTTGACCACTGGTAAGATAGCTTCAGCCATACCTCTGTTACCAGTGTACAGTCTGTAATGGAGCATTTGTTTTGTTGGAACATAAGCATTGCATAATTTTCAGATTTGGATTTTGATTTTCCTTTGGCATTCATTAAACCATAGATTCTTGTAAGGCATGGTATTTGATTTTGTAGTTTCTTCTCCTTTGATCAGTACTCGATATCCACTTCTAACTGTGTATATTCCTATATGCTTCCCCCTCAAACCTTAACATCTTGTTGATCGAAGTACTCGATATCCACTTCTAATTGTGTATATTCCTATATGCTTCCCCCTCAAACCTTAACATCTTGTTGATCGAACTTTGCGATTGGTATTACTTTGATTTGCATGGCTTCTTTTGTTGTGAATAATGAATCGACTAGTTCTGTTTTCCATTCTTTTGTGATTGGGTTAGTTATATCCTTTACCTTTTCGATGCCCTACACTCTTGGTGACATGAAGCGTTTCGGTACTGTTTCTGGGAGCTAGTATGCTCCAGATTAAAATATCTGCACCATTTCCAACTTTCCATCGTAACCATTTTCGATTAAGCCTCTAGCGCTCCAGATGTTTCTCCAAATATAGGATGGTGATACAAGAACGCCCTACTCCACTTAGTGAGGTAAGACTTGCACTTTGATTGTAGTACCTAGGAAGGTAGCAAGTGTTCCTGAAATAAGAAGATTTAAAAGAAAATTGTTAAGTATGAGTGAATAAGTTGGTAAGATAAAAATGGCAGCGAAATAAATGACGATGATGATATGTTTGAAAGGATTTAGAGAAATATTTGTATGGTAGAATGATGGTATGGTTATGGTTGAGTTTATAAAAGAAAATGGAAGATGATGGATAGTATCTTAGAAAGACCAAGGAAGAACCAGTGCTATAATAGGCAAAAACCTAGCCTTACAAATCTCTCTAGGGGTTGGTAGAAAAGGACTTGGACCCGCTATTTATAAAAAGATAAGAACCACAAATATCAAGGTGGATAGAAGATAGGTGACGCCACAAGCACAAGAGCACTTGATAAGTCGATATAGTTATTAAAGAACTAGAAAGAGAGAAAATCTCATAAGTTTTGATTAAACAAAGTTGGTTGATTTACAAAATGAAAGCTAAACTATTTATAAGCCTAAGGATTCCTGGGATACACATACAAGCTTTAATGAGTGAACATTCATGGATGAATGTTCATACTTTAAGTAGATACAAAGCATGGCTTAGGTGAATGAATTTGATGAATGGATGTTCTTCTTTTAATGCAATGCATCCTTTGGCCAAATTCATCCCGCCTTGTGTGAACTTGTTGATTTGTCTTCTATGGATGAATGTTCATGAATGTTTCTTGGCGAAAATTCTTCCCCCTTGTGTGAACATGACTATTTGGCTTCTTGCATGAATATGCATGAATGGATGAACTTAAAAGCCTTTGAATAAATCCTTGCACCTTCTCACAAATGTGCTGATTCATTTTAATATTCTTTTCTCATCCTTGCATGTCTTCATTAATTCCTCCCATGCATAAGTCCTTTGAAGGAGACAAATGGTTGCAAATCCCGTATTTATTTCCAGTCTGCACTGTCTTCAGTAATCTGAACATATCTCGAGCTCCCAATATCGGATTAATATTATTCAAAGTGCGTTGGAAAGTTAAAGAGATAGGATATTAAATGTTAAGAAGACTTCATCACCCAAAGATGCTTGGAACATGTTCAAAAATGGCGATCAATCTACTAACGTGAACTGTCCAACCAACTCTTCAAATGCCTTTAGACTTCTTAGTATCCAATGTACCTAGACAAAATATGTAAACAAATAATTAGATAGGAATTAAGCTATGATAATTATGAATGCATGTTGACACCTATGTTTTGAATGCAAATGAGCTAACTATGAATGCATATACATTGAATGCGTTATATAAAGATGTGAATTAATAAGTCATGCATGAATATCAAATATTATACATATAAATGACAACATATAATATTCAAGCATAATTAAGAATAAGATAAACATATTCACGTGACATGTAATGCATAAATAAGTAAATAAGTAATAAAATAAGGTAAGACTCCTTTAGAATTAGCAAGGTAGAACGTCCATGAAGTGATCTTGTGTTGAAGAAGCTTGATTATTGGCATGATCACATCATTCCCCTTTTTTTAGAGCGATTTGTCCTCAAATCGAAGGCTTCTGTCATTGATTGATCCATTGGTGTAACAAAGGATGAATGAAGATCATTATGCCTATTAGGGTAGGTATTAATTTCTTTGAATCCTTCGAGTAGGTCAATAACGCCAACTTTAGTCTTTGTACCTTTCAACATTATGAATCTTGAATAGTTGGATAATGCTCATTTCTTTTCCTTGAATTGATGATCACAAGAAAGAACACTTCCATGTAAATGATTCGATGTGCTGCAAAATAGAAATAAGTTAGAACATGAAACATCATTAACAATATGAATGAACGTACAAGATTCATTAAGGTTCATGAATGGAATTTGGTTCGTTGAAACTTCCATTTCATAAGGTTCATTGGATCTTGAATATGAAGTGAATGTACTTTGAAGGTTAATGAACATGTTTTTTGGGATTTCAAGTGACATCTTTTGGAATTTCAAAAGAAATGATGCTTGAATTATCTTGTATGTCTCTTGGAATAACCTACAAATTCAAAGAACGAATAGAAGAAAAAAATTGATTAGTATAAAGCAAAACTTCCTTCTCTTCATATTCTTTTCTCTCATGCTCGTGTTTGTTTTGAATTCTCTCTTTAATCTCACTCTCATTTTTACAACACGCTCATCTTCACTCTCAATGCTCTTACTCTCATTTTCGATTACTCCAATGGCCTTTTCACGAAAAATCACACTCTTATTTTCAACTCTAAATGTCTTGGTTTTCTTACTATGTTCTTCAATGTTTTTCTTCAATTGATTTTGGTCTTCATGCACTTGATTTGGCAACATTGGTACCAATGTGATTCTTCTTCCTTGATGTTGGAATGAATACTCATTGGAAAATCCATCGTGAGTAGCCTTCTTGTCAAATTGCCAAGGTCGTCCGAAAAGAAGATGACTTGAATTTATGGTAATAACATCAAACAATACTTCATCTTTGTATCTTCCGATTGAGAATGGTATAAGTACCTGTTTAGTGACCTTCAACTCTTCTTCGTCGTTTAACCATTGCAATTCGTATGGGCTGGAATGTTTGATCGTTGTAAGCCCCAACTTTTCTACCAAATATGTGCTAGCAAGGTTTGCACAATTTCCACTATCAATGGCTACAAGACATACTTTACCATTTACATGGTAACGAGTATGAAATGCATTCTCTCTTTGTTGAATGTTCTCCATTGTTTGGGAAGAGGAAAGATCAAGTAACATTGTTAGTAAAAAAATTGAAATGTAAAAAATAGGATCTTACCAAATTTCACACAACAAAACCTCACGATCGCTCCATAAAATTGTGATGTCACTCCACTTAAGCACTCGTGTTTCACTCGGGAATATGTTTTTGGCTTTTGTAATTCCCCTTTGATCTCACACGCTCTTTATTCCTTTTTCCACTCGTTTCTCTCTTGTTAAGTTCTAAAAGAACTAACTCAAGACCTTCAAATGAAGTGTTTAGGCGTTTGTTGCAAAATGATGTTAGGTAGGGAATAAAAATAGATTGTGAAAGAAAAAAGGAGTTCCTACTACAAGACACTTACAACCTGCCCTAGCCACAATCATAGTCTGAAAATGGCTTCAGGCTTGCTTGCAATTGTTGTTGTAGATCACCTTTTGATTTCACTTTTTTTTTCTTTCTTGCTTTGATTTTGTCTTTTCATTTGCTTTCTTTCTTTTTGCACATTTCTTCAACAATTTTTGAATTGCACTTCTTTTTCCTTTTAGTTTTGATTGATTCGTTTGAACAACACTTCACAACTTGCTTGCTTCCACCTTAGCTCTGAATACCATATGATACAAGCACACCCTACTCCACTTGGTGAGGTAAGACTTGCACTTTGATTGTAGGACCTAGGAAGGTAGCAAGTGTTTCTAAAATAAGAAGACTTAAAAGAAATGGTTAAGTATGAATGAATAAGTTGGTAAGATAAAAATGACAGCGGAATAAATGAATATGATGCTATGTTTGAAAGGATTTAGAGAAGTATTTGTATGGTAGAATGATGGTATGGTTATGGTTGAGTTTATGGAAGATGATGGATAGTATCTTAGAAAGACCAAGGAAAAACCAGTGTTATAATAAGAAAAGACCCAGCCTTACAAATCTCTCTAGGGGTTGGTAGAAAAGGACTTGGACCCACTATCTATAAAAAGATAAGAACCGCAAGTATCAAGGTGGATAGAAGATAGGTGATGCCACAAGCACAAGAGCACTTGATAAGTCGATACAGTTCTTAAAGAACTAGAAAGAGAGAAAATCTTATAAGTTTTGATTAAACAAAGTTGGTTGATTTACAAAATGAAAGCTAAACTATTTATAAGCCTAAGGATTCCTAGGATACTCATACAATCTTTAATGAGTGAACATTCATGAATGAATGTTCATACTTTAAGTAGATACAAAGCATGGCTTAGGTGAATGAATTTGATGAATGGATGTTCATCTTTTAATGCAATGCATCCTTTGGCCGAATTCATCCCACCTTGTGTGAACTTGTTGATTTGTCTTCTATGGATATATGTTCATGAATGTATCTTGGTTGAAATTCTTTCCCCTTGTGTGAACATGACTATTTGGCTTCTTGCATGAATATGCATGAATGGATGAACTTAAAAGCCTTTGAATGAATCCTTGCACCTCATCACAAATGTTCTGATTCATTTTAATATTATTTTCTCGTCCTTGCATGTCTTCATTAATTCCTCCCATGTATAAGTCCTTTGAAGGAGACGAATGGTTGCAAATCCCGTATTTATTTCCAGCCTGCACTGTCTTCAGTAATATGAACATATCGCAAGCTCCCAATATCGGATTAATATTATTCAAAGTGCGTTGGAAAGTTAAGAGATAGAGGATTAAATGTTAAGAAGACTTCATCACCCAAAGATGCTTGGAACATGTTCAAAAATGGTGATCAATCTGATTGAGGTGAATTGTCCGACCAACTCTTCAACTGCCTTTAGTCTTCTTAAGATCCAATGTACCTAGACAAAGTATG